TCCTCTCTGGTCTCTTTTCTCCTCCGTATGACCTTTTTCTTTCTCCCGTATTCTGTTTCCATATACTTGTAGTGTCCGATGTTGGAACTAGTGGTAGTGGGGTGGTTGTACTACTGAGATTAAGGGGGGGGGGGGGGGGGGGGGTTAAAAGGAACAGTCACAAGAGTGAAGTTCTTGGAAGCTGCATGGAAACTTTTTCAAAACACCATTTTAGCGGTTCAAACTATGTGTATACCTTAAATAAATAAATAAACAGTAAGAGAGCTGAAAAAAATTCCACTGTGGCTAAACCGCAGTAAGAGATGCGGTTAGACACAAACAGATGTTCTTTAGCAATTGGAAGTCAAATCTTACTGAGGAAACTAGAAAGGAGCATTAACTCTGGCAAGTTAAGTGTAAAAGTATAATTAGGCAGGCGAGTAAATTTGAAGAGCAACTAAGAAAAGACACAAAAATTAACAGTACCTTTTTTTTTTTAAGTGCAGCAGAAACACTGCCAAACAATCAATGAGGCCACAGGACAATTTTGGTGCTTAAGGAGCACTCAAGGAAGATAAGGCCATTGTGGGCATGAATCTGTGTATTGGTCTTCACTGCAGAGAATGTGAGGGAGATTCCCACACCTAAGCTATTCTTTTTAGGTGACAAATCTGAGGAACTGCCCTGGCTTAAGGTGTCAATAGAGGAGGTTTTGGAACAAATTGATAAACAGTAATAAATCATCAGGACCAGATGGTATTCACCAAAGAGTTCTGAAGAAGCTCAAATGTGAAATAGCAGAACTACTGCAGAAAGGTATGTAATATATTGCTTAAATCAGCCTGTGTAACAGATGACTAGTGGATAGCTAATGTAATGCCAATTTTTAAAAAAGGCTCCACAAGTGATCCTGGCAATTGCAGGCCAGTAAGCCTAACTTTTGTACAAAACGGATTGGTTGAAACTATAGTAAATAACAATTATTAGACACATAAAGGAACATGATGTGTTGGGGAGGGGGGGGAAGAGTCAACTCGGCTTTTGTAAAGGGAAATTGTGCCTCACCAATCTGTTAGAATTCTTTGAAAGGGTCAACAAACATGTGGGCAAGGGTGACCCAGGGGATATAGTGTATTTGGACTTTCAACAAGTCTTTGACAAGGTTCCTCACCAAAGGTTCTTAAGCAAAGTAGCTGTTATGGGATAAGAAGGAAGGTCCTCTCATGGCTCAGTAACTAGGAAACAAAGGGTAGTTCTAAACGGTCAGTTTTCACAGTGGAAGGAGGTAAATAGCAGGGTCCTCCAAGGCTCAACACTGGGACCAGTGCTGTTGAAAATATTAATAAATTATCTGGAAAAGGGGGTAAACAGTGAAGTGGCAAAGTTTGCAGATGATGCAAAATTACTCAAGATAGTTAAGGCTAAAACTGACTGTGAAGAGTTACAAAGGGATCTCACAAAACTGGGCGACTGGGCAACAGAATGGCAGATGAAATTCATTGTTGATAAATGTAAAGCAATCAACATTGAAAAACATAATCTCAACTATATATACAAAACTATGGGTCTAAATTTGCTATTACTACTCAAGAAAGAGATCTTGGATTCACTATGGATAGTTTTTTGAAAACATCAGATCAGTGTGCAGCAGCAGTTAATAAAGCCAACAGAATATAGGTCCCATTAGGAAAGGGTTAGATAATAAGACAGACACAATATCATAATGCAACTATATAAATCCATGGTATGCCCACACCTTGAATATTGCATACAGTTCTGGTCACCCCGTCTCAAAAAAGATATATTAGAAT